AGATCATTTCTCAAAGTCCACATATTGAGGTAGGAACACAGCGATTTTCAGCTATTTTGAAGACGATCAACAGCGTCCTTTTTGGTACTAGAAATCGTACAATTTGAAAACACTACCTTGAGTACGCTGAAATGGCTGGCAAAGACGCGTGTTTCACGCGAATAGTTGGCCTGATCTTCCATTTTATTATCCATTTTTGGTACCAAAATAAACCTTAGAAACATGGCTTTCAGACTGGKACTGCTTTAATTTTGGAGGTTTTTTTACTGGCGCCTTGCGCGCACTGGTAAATAGCGCAGATAGCGGGAAAGAACGAAAGATAGGCCAATCAAGTCTAGTGTAAACAATGTGAGACCTTTTAAATCCCTTAGAAATGTACAAGTATAAACAAAAGATCACAATATCAACTGATGATCATTGTTTAAAATACCTGAGGGAAACGTGTGTTCCAGCAAATAATATTATTTACACTATGAACATTCCAAACGAGCACCTCACAAGCCACTAATGAACTCAAGGCAGGGCGTGCTATCCAATACTCGTTTGTCGGTGTTTTTAACGTTCCGATTTTAGCCCAGTATTGTATTAAGATAAAGGATCGTTGCACAACAGTAGAAAATTTGATCTTTAAAAGTTCAAACCACAAGGGAACTTGTAGAAAGCTCTATTTTGGTGGGAAAACCCGCTGACTCGTCCCGGGCTCAAATGTCCGGAATTTCTGGCCATGGACAAGTGAACACAACCCCCTAATTAGATAATGATGAGCATAGTTGATAGTTTGTATTAACTATGTGATTAGATAAAGACCTATCAGTTCAAAATTGAACTATAGTTACTGTTTTTTTCAAAAAATCTAAAATTTCCAACAAAATGTATGGGATCTAGTAAATTTGTCTGGATGGACAAAATGGTCAAAATGCGGCTTCCTAAATATTTCTTTGGAAAAATATTAGAATATTTAAGTAAGTCGTTCACTATTGAACTGATTTAAACCAATTGAAAGTTTCATTGCCAGAAAGCTGGGTCTGACCAGCCGTTTTCGTGGGCTCAGATATTAACGATTTTATACGTAAAATACAAAAGATTTAAACAAAACATTTCATTTTCATTGTAGAATTGAGTTATTGTCGTGATAGATATTTCAGAACAGCAGAATTAGAAAGTTTGTTTCTATAAAGAGACCCGTCATGTTCGAAAAACAATGAATTCACCTATAATTTTTAGAATTTTGTACGGTAAAAACAAACATTTGATTGGAAGCACTTTGTGCAATCCCAGAAGGCACTGAGTTGATATTCAGTAAAAGGGCGCATCAAGAGGGCTTTCGTGAAGGCTTTCATTCAATTATTTCCTACTCAAAGCTGGAAAACAAAATTGCGATTTATGCACGAGCCAATTATGTGCAAACGGACTGATATGTACATGAACATTGGACGATTTTATAGAAAATGAAGGAGAGACCTTAAAAATAAAACAAACTCCTCAGGAAGAAAATTTGTTGTTTTCCGTTCATGTTAAAACCATTATTGCCGCGAGTACAACGATTGAACTATACTTTGATCATTGTAAGTCGCNTGATTATGATTGTAACTTTTGATTATTTTTTGGGTACGGCATATGCTGATTTCAAGAAATATTATTAACAATTAAAATTGTGTTTTCATAGGTCTGGAAGCATTATTGTAAAGTTTCAGCTCGTTTTTAAAGAGTCCCCACAAGATCCACTTCTTCCACTTAAGGACAATATCAGGGATGGTACTTTGGGGAATTTCAAAGTAGATGCAAACTCCTTAAAAATGATCAACGAGAAGTCGGGTAAGCACCATATTAGGTATGATTATGTATAGTTTACAACATGTTGAATGCAGGTCGTAAACGACTTATAAAAAGGCCAACACTAATTCATTTGAATTTAAGTGAGATAAATGACGGAAAATGACGAAAGGTAATTGCTGAATTATACTGTAAAAAAAAAATACATACAAAAAGTATAATTATACGAATTACGCGACGACTACGCGATCTGATAATATATGTTTAACAATAATATATTCAACACTAGATTTACACTGAGATTTACAACACGTTCGTCACCATTGAGATAATCCAACCGACAGCAGTTGGTCTCAGTTTCAATCAGATCAGATAGCACTCCCTAATGCAATAGATAGCTTGCTTTCCATTATTCACATAAAATGTTTTCTGTTGCAGTAGATTGCACTTGTTTAATAGCGACATGACAATGTCAATGTACTTACTCGATTATTAATTTTCCTTACGGGTACGATCCATCAAAGGAAATAATTTGAAAACTACTAAAGTTTTCTTGTCGGGCCTTAATTATCAGTCCTTAGCTTGCTGTTGTGAATGTTTGAAACCAATTCCATTCGCTATCTTTTCTTTATTAGAGACCACCAAAGACAACAAACTTATTATCATTCTTGTCCCGGTTGCCATCGCTGTCGTCCTCATCGTYACAGCCATCGCTGTATTGATCTGCAGAAGTAAAGAGTAYCAAARCTACCGCTTGAGAAAGCGCTCATCTGTTTGCKCTCCAAGCTTTTGTGATGGTCACGAACAAAAGGAGAAAATTGAAATGCAAGGATGGACTGGGGACCAAACGAATAATATGGAAAGGAATTTAGTCAACAATTATGTGGCGTCAGAATCGCATGTCAACCCTARCTTTCAGAACTAAGAGCCGAAAGCACAGCGTCAGTGATTGCACTAATATATTAGMAGTGTTTGATTTTTAGGAGATGTTTTCCATGTCTTTTTTTGTATTGATCTTATTACGAGTTATCAGCTCAGTTTCACTAAGGAAATGAGTATTCATGCTAATCAGTTTTTAAGAGTGATCATTTTTTTATTGTAGTCAAACAGTTGTATAGAAGCTATAGGACAAACACGTAGATGTCATTTTCGT